GCTGGCTGGAGCCTCTCAGCTGAGATTTGGGACTATGGAAAAAAAAAAATTCTGGCAGCAACAGAATAGCAACTTACTTTAAGTCCTATTCGTTAAAAACATTGCATCCTTCATTATTGCTGTTGTTGTTGCTCCACTAGGGGCTAGACCTGTTTAACAACAGGGGCAGTCAATAATCAGCAACTGGCTCTTATTTAAGGAAATATACTTTCGCTGAAGTCTGGTAGGACAAGAAGGAGTTAGTCCTAAGTAACATTGCAGTAGATTATTAGATAACCTCTAACAGCATCCTCTAATTAGAGTTCTTATGATACAATTTCATCCTGTAATTAGTTGAGATTGGCTGCTTCCTTTTGCAGCTTATTAGTGGCAACACAGCTGTAGAAGTGAATCCACTCTCATTTGTCAAACCTTTTTAAGTCTTTTTCTCTTGTCTCTACCTTTTTCCTGCCCTTCTCTTGGGCCTTTGCAGCTAAATCTGGTGTCTAGTGTCACCATGTCGAAGAACATGTTGGAGACATCCCCACAGAGCTTACCTCAAACCCCTACCACACCAACGGCCCCAGTCACCCCGATTACCCAGGGACCCTCAGTAATCACCCCAGCCAGTGTGCCCAATGTGGGAGCCATACGAAGGCGACATTCAGACAAATACAACATTCCCATGTCATCAGGTAGGATATGAATGCTCAGTAGAGCGCTTTTACTTTGGGAGAGGAAAACTGTAGCTGAAGCAACTGTACATGAGCCATTCCAGAGCACATGGAAACGCAAGTCATGATTTATGGAGTGATAATTGTTTTATTCTTGGTAAATGCGAATAGGGGCGATTCCCTAAGCACATCATGATGAACTGTTCTGAATGGTTGTTCAGGAGAGAAAGCTCTCCCCATTAGAGACATTGAGAGATGTGTTGTTGGGGATAGCCCCATATTATCACCTCAATTCAATGAGATCCTTTGATCTCCGAGGGCCATCCAGCATCTGCGAGTGATGCAGTATGAGAAGAGCCCTTTAAAAGGACATGTATGAAGCACCGTTGCTTTATGCAAGACTGTTGGGGCTTTACAGGAATCAGTCTTTATCAGGGTGCTGTCCACGGGAAATCCTGCCACCGCTCCTAAGGCCTGTGAGCTACTTAGCTTAAGAAGCATCCTGAGAGGAAAAGTTCGCCTGGAACAAAAAATTCACCTTCCCTCCCTCTCTTCCCCTTCTTCCTGCTCCCCACCCCAGCTTCCATCCCCACCCCGGGGCATCTGGATAATCACAGTCACACATTGTAACCATTATGATCCCAGAGCCCTCTTTTTACAAAAAGTGAAGTTATTTCCAACACGGGCGAGCTTGTGAGGGGGTTTGTGATTCCTTTGTTAGATGGCCACAGATGCTGAAGGATGATCCTGTTATACATTAAGAAGTATTAGAGGAGAAAAGCAAAGATTATGGCAGGGGGGCAAAAGTCCATGTAAGAACATGCCTAAACCACACGCTTAAAAGAGGACCTGGCTGTTGGAAAAAATCCTCAGGCCAGCTGGTCATACTGTTCCTGAAGGACCGAGAACAACTAGGGGACGCTTCATTTGCACTTCGCGTCAGAAATGGCCTTTTCTATATAATTCAATTCCACTGTCATGCTTTGTGCCTTCACTAGTCAGTGGCTTCCTCCCTGAATCGCTTTACCAATATTAGGGGAAAATATGAAAAATCAATTATATATGATGTGAGTTATTAGCAGAATTAACGCCTAGTTTTTATTTTCATAGAGATTGCCCCCAACTATGAATTTTATAAGAATGCAGATGTCAGACCTCCATTTACTTATGCAACTCTCATAAGGCAGGTAAGTAGAGGGAAAATTAACTTTGCCTGATTAAATTAAAATTCATTAATGCTTAAAGTAAGGCTTGGATGAGAAAGTGTCATCTAGTCTAGTTAGTAAACCATTATTTTATGTCACTATGTATCTTGTCTCATTTCAGGCTATCATGGAGTCATCTGACAGGCAGTTAACACTTAATGAAATTTACAGCTGGTTTACACGGACATTTGCTTACTTCAGGCGTAATGCAGCAACTTGGAAGGTAACTACTTTCCAGCAGTTTTAAGACGCCTCACACAGTTCCTTACAGATAGCACAAGGAACATTTATTTACATGACATAAGCAGATTAGTATCTGCTTCCCCTCTTTTTAACCTGCCTCTTGAATGGAATGAATTCCCTCTCTCAAAATGACAAGTGAAAGAATAATTTTGCCTCTGATATAGTTTTCTAATTTGGTGCAATTAATAGCTGAGGCTTGGCAGAGAAACGAGGGCCTGACACACTAATTACAGTGTGAGCACTCAATCATCAACACCTTTGTTAGTCGCACGATATTACTTTTTCTCTTGCATATTATTGGCTAATTAGTTTGAAAAATGTCTGTTTGGCTTGTGCAACAAATGGAGGCTGTAGGTTTTGTCCTGGTCTGCGCCTTTTGTACACATCATACCTCATCAT